GGCCTATCGATGACGTCATTTGTGTTCTGGCAGCGTCTCACCAGTGCAGAAATGGTGTTCCGGTGGCAGTGGCAATGTGCAGCCACTTATCGTTGAGACATTCCCCCACGGACCATCCTAATGGCCCCATGACATTGTGCAGACGTGAGCCTTGGCATGCTATGTGTTTCAATAGCCGTTTAATTTTTTGAATGATCGCAAGGGCAGGGGTTGAGCTTTCCAAAGTGACAGTATTGTGTGGCATTCATTTGTTCTGTTACTCTTTCCCGGACTGCACGTGCAACAACGTATTGCACGTCTCAAGGACAAACCCACTGACGTCGCGGAACGTGGCACGTGCATGCATGTTGGATACATGTCACTAATCTCTGAGTTTAAATCCTTATGTGTCTACACAGGTTTGATAAATTTAGATTTAAATTTTTGTATGCACAGTTTCTTTATGTGCCTAGTATATATAGAGAAAACAAGATAAATTAAGACATTGTTAGCTCTGTCTGGCATTGTTGGTGGAATCCATACATTACACTTACAATCCTACGCTATCTGTTACTACTAGCAAGGAGCCATGAAATTATAAATCTTTTTTTTTTTTTTTTTTTTTTTAAATATTTTTATTTCCCAAAGTACATTTGTTGTTGTTGTAGTACAAAAGCATCATACACAACACATCCTCGTCATCAAACATTGTGCAAACATCACCATCAATACAATCAATCAATACAAAACAATCATCGTATGTTCACTGTGGATTTACTATAATGTAATGAAATTATAAATCTTGGTCATACTATGCTGGTAAAGCTAGAATCCCCATTCTCTCAACCCAGGCAAGGTCAGCAGCATCATTTGAGGGAGGAAAGAGGAAAAGGACTGCAGTGAATCAGATGAGGACAACACAACCACAGTGGTATGTTAAATACACATTCTTGCAATGTAAAAAAATGATCATATATTTGTTTTACATAGAAGAAAACATATTACTTGACCCAAATGAAAGGTTTAATTGTATAGTGGTTGATTAGTAGCAAATTGAATATTCCTGTAATGTCCTCAAGAAAGAGGAAAAGAACTTTTGTAAAGCAAACAACAGATTGTAAGGAGCAAGTATAGTACCATGATGCTCACACAACTAAGGAGGCACCAAGTATAGTACCATGATACCATGATGCTCACACAACTAAGGAGGCAAGTATAGTACCATGATGCTCACACAACTAAGGAGGCAAGTATAGTACCATGATGCTCACACAACTAAGGAGGCAAGTATAGTACCATGATGCTCACACAACTAAGGAGGTAAGTATAGTACCATGATGCTCACACAACTAAGGAGGCAAGTATAGTACCATGATGCTCACACAACTAAGGAGGCAAGTATAGTACCATGATGCTCACACAACTAAGGAGGCAAGTATAGTACCATGATGCTCACACAACTAAGGAGGCAAGTATAGTACCATGATGCTCACACAACTAAGGAGGCAAGTATAGTACCATGATGCTCACACAACTAAGGAGGCAAGTATAGTACCATGATGCTCACACAACTAAGGAGGCAAGTATAGTACCATGATGCTCACACAACTAAGGAGGCAAGTATAGTACCATGATGCTCACACAACTAAGGAGGCAAGTATAGTACCATGATGCTCACACAACTAAGGAGGTAAGTATAGTACCATGCATATTAATAGTGACTCGAATATAGAAATGCTTTAACTGGATTTCAACATGAACTTGTAATGAACTAACTGTCCCACACTTTCCAGAACCAAGGAGATGAGACACGTCCGATCAACAGGAGACAGAGTGAACGTGTAAGTTAAAGAGCCAACACTGTAACAGGAATGTAGACATTTGGCTGGTTTACTTCATGTTGCCTGAAAACAGTCTAGGCTGGACGAGACACAAGTTTGTTTGATGTAAAATAAACTCCAGGCAATCCGGTTGTGATAACACAAAATTATAGTCAGTGAACATTACCTCAATTCATTGTGTTGCCTAACACTACCAAAATGACAAGGTGGCCAACACCAAGAATGAGAGAAATATATGCAGCATGAAGAGCCAAGTCTATCCCAAAGAGAACAACCATTAAATGTGAAGTTTTAACAATACAGAAATAACAGTTATTGTTCATGTTCATTTCAACGGTGTCGTCTCAGGACGCTGACCTTTCGATTTTCCACTAGTCTCAGGACGCCGACCTGCGGTTTCCTTTGAAGGTTAGGTTCTGATTAGGCGTAACTAGGGTTGTGGATAATCTACTCTAGATGTTTTGATAAGGTGAACTCATCGCACTTGGTGAACATATCGCAATGGAACCACCACAACTCAGATGGGCCAAGAACCAACAACCACCTGGAAGGGTGGCATTCACGTCTGAAGAGATACATCGGCAAGGCTCACCCAAACATCTTCCAGATCACACCGTTATTGTCACTAGAACAGACCAACACGGAAAACAAGCTGGTCCAGTATGTTGCTGGCCAGAAGCGTCCGTCCAAGAAGAAATACAGGGACTTGGAGCGACGACTGAATCACATCCGTCACCAGCTCAGACAAGGTACACTGTCCGTGAGACCGTTTGCTGATTCAGCATTCCACCTGTTGCTGTGGATCAATCTCTGTGAAAATATGTGTGCTATATGTATCATGAATATGCATCGCATATGCGATGTATTTATTAAAAATATCACATTTACTTATGTGACTCATTGTAAAAAAAACTGTAAAAATCTGTCGACTGAGTTTGTTAATGAGTGCTTCAAGTATGGGAATTAACTGATAAAAATATGGGAGTACTGCACTTTACCGAGCGCACTTTTTCAGATTTAATCAGCGCTGCTGGGGCTCGAACGCGTTCAGCAGGATTAGGGGGATTCCTGATGGGTGCTAATTACGCTAATTAGCCGACACGGTACCTCGGGACCACGGGTGCGATCACAGCCAGCATGTGCTCGTTTAACAGGTCATTACCACAGTAGCACTGCTAGCCCTGCGCATGCGTAATGGTTTGTTTTCATTTCTCGCGCATGCGCAGTGCTCAGTCTCCGCCTACCCATTCATCAACTCGAGAAGCCACACCTAGCTATTGTTATCAAGATGTCGCACCAACCAATCCGAAGAAGCCATGATTTATGACGACGTTTATCGTCTGACTTTCGATTCGCCGGTTCTTGTCGACTGGCTGACTACCAGCGGGGTCATAGGTGACTTCGGTGGAGCCTGCCCCGTTGTACTACCGGGTCAGCTGACTCGAAAAAGACTCCAGCTACGGTCGTGATGGTTTGGTCTGGCGATGCCGGGTCAAGACCCGCGGTCAGAAAGTTTCGATCCGGGGGGAGCTGGTTTGCCGGCTCTCATCTCACTCTGCCGCAATTGATGAAACACCTTTATTACTGGTGTACAAGACGCCGCCTCATGTGATCCAGCGACTAAGGAGGTAAGTATAGTACCATGATGCTCACACAACTAAGGAGGTAAGTATAGTACCATGATGCTCACACACAGCTAAGGAGGTAAGTATAGTACCATGATGCTCACACAACTAAGGAGTAAGTATAGTACCATGATGCTCACACAACTAAGGAGGTAAGTATAGTACCATGATGCTCACACAACTAAGGAGGTAAGTATAGTACCATGATGCTCACACATACCATGATGCTCACACAACTAAGGAGGTAAGTATAGTACCATGATGCTCACACAACTAAGGAGGTAAGTATAGTACCATGATGCTCACACAACTAAGGAGGTAAGTATAGTACCATGATGCTCACACAACTAAGGAGGTAAGTATAGTACCATGATGCTCACACAACTAAGGAGGTAAGTATAGTACCATGATGCTCACACAACTAAGGAGGTAAGTATAGTACCATGATGCTCACACAACAAAGGAGGTAAGTATAGTGCCATGATGCTCACACAACTAAGGAGGTAAGGAGGCTCACACAACAAAGGAGTAAGTATAGTACCATGATGCTCACACAACTAAGGAGGTAAGTATAGTACCATGATGCTCACACAACTAAGGAGGTAAGTATAGTACCATGATGCTCACACAACCAAGGAGGTAAGTATAGTACCATGATGCTCACACAACTAAGGAGGTAAGTATAGTACCATGATGCTCACACAACTAAGGAGTCAAGTATAGTACCATGATGCTCACACAACAAAGGAGGTAAGTATAGTACCATGATGCTCACACAACTAAGGAGGTAAGTATAGTACCATGATGCTCACACAACTAAGGAGGCAAGTATAGTACCATGATGCTCACACAACTAAGGAGGCAAGTATAGTACCATGATGCTCACACAACTAAGGAGGCAAGTATAGTACCATGATGCTCACACAACTAAGGAGGTAAGTATAGTACCATGTATATTAATAGTGACTCTAATATAGAAATGCTTTAACTGGATTTCAACATGAACTTGTAATGAACTAACTGTCCCACACTTTCCAGAACCAAGGAGATGAGACACGTCCGATCAACAGGAGACAGAGTGAACGTGTAAGTTAAAGAGCCAACACTGTAACAGGAATGTAGACATTTGGCTGGTTTACTTCATGTTGCCTGAAAACAGTCTAGGCTGGACGAGACACAAGTTTGTTTGATGTAAAATAAACTCCAGGCAATCGGGTTGTGATAACACAAAATTATAGTCAGTGAACATTACCTCAATTCATTGTGTTGCCTAACACTACCAAAATGACAAGGTGGCCAACACCAAGAATGAGAGAAATATATGCAGCATGAAGAGCCAAGTCTATCCCAAAGAGAACAACCATTAAATGTGAAGTTTTAACAATACAGAAATAACAGTTATTGTTCATGTTCATTTCAACGGTGTCGTCTCAGGACGCTGACCTTTTGATTTTCCACTAGTCTCAGGACGCCGACCTGCGGTTTCCTTTGAAGGTTAGGTTCTGATTAGGCGTAACTAGGGTTGTGGATAATCTACTCTAGATGTTTTGATAAGGTGAACTTGTCCACTTGGTGAACATATCGCAATGGAACCACCACAACTCAGATGGGCCAAGAACCAACAACCACCTGGAAGGGTGGCATTCACGTCTGAAGAGATACATCGGCAAGGCTCACCCAAACATCTTCCAGATCACACCGTTATTGTCACTAGAACAGACCAACACGGAAAACAAGCTGGTCCAGTATGTTGCTGGCCAGAAGCGTCCGTCCAAGAAGAAATACAGGGACTTGGAGCGACGACTGAATTATTCCGTCACCAGCTCAGACAAGGTACACTGTCCGTGAGACCGTTTGCTGATTCAGCATTCCACCTGTTGCATTTGGGTCAAAATCTGTGGATCAATATCTGTGAAAATATGTGTGCTATATGTATCATGAATATGCATCGCATATGCGATGTATTTATTAAAAATATCACATTTACTTATGTGACTCATTGTAAAAAAAACTGTAAAAATCTGTCAACTGAGTTTGTTAATGAGTGCTTCAAGTATGGACTGACTGCTTCAAGTATGGAAATTAACTGATAAAAATATAAACTGTTGTCGTCTTCTCATTAGGTGTGCTCTCATCTGCATAATCCGGATTCTCCTCTTCTAACAACTCGTTGATCCTTCATTGTCCTCATAATCCTATATTAACTGGCAAAATGAAACTGTCTCAGGACGCCGATATTTTCCACTCAACCATGAAGTTTGGTCGAAAGGTCGGCGTTACAAGCCTGAACCATTTCAGCTACCAATACCTTTGGATTATGAGTCCATATGGAGGTTACACTCAAACACAAATGCTGAGATGGCTGTAGTAGATGGACATAAACTGACAGGGAAGAGTTTCGGAGTACTGAGACCAGGGCATGAATTTACAGATGAGGTACTTCCATAACAACTAATTAATTTGAAATCTGATGATAGCAATAACTATTTGACAAAAAGTACACCTATTTATATCTGTTTTGGTTAGGTAATCTTCATGTTCATGTAACTAAAAACCGATGACCATGGATTAAAGAAGTTTCACACAAAATGTTTATGCTTGGCTTGGCATCACCCTTATGGAAGGGATTTTTTCAAGGAACATCAGTTTGGGCTTTCCTGATATACAAAAGCAAATTAACTTTGATGACATAGCTGAAGTTTTCACACCATGTATTTTAAATCGGTTTGCTAGTTGTTTAATGCCACATTCGACCATAGTCGAGGTGTCTAATGAAGGTCTATGAAGAAGTTGGGAACCAAATATACAATGGTGAATTGTGACAATGCAGCACATGTATTATTGTGTGAAATGATTGCTTAACATTTTTTACAGATACTCAACGCATACTGCAGTGTTAAATGTGGCGACCGAGATGTTGTATACCTGATGGACTGCCTTGCTGCAACTGATGTTATTCTTAAGCATGGACAACCACCAGTATTCAGGAATGTAAGAAATACAATTATTGTAAAATGTTTGCCTAAACTAACACTACACAAGTAGGATTACCTTTGGAGGACAAATACATACCACTAACAATTATTCAACATGTATAAATTAACATGTACGTCTCTCCACTCTTCAAGGCACATGCAAAGCAAGGGTTTCATATAACCATGTAAGCCTACTGGGTGATTACAGCTGACTTGCTATTGTAAGTTTTTGTTTGTTTGTTGCTTAACGCCGCACTCAACGATATTCCACCCATAACGATATTCCACCTGTACGATATTCCACCTGTACGATATTCCACCCATACGATATTCCACCTATACGGCAACTGTCTGTAAATAGTCAACTCTGGATCAAACAATTCAGTGATAAAACATAATGAGCATTGATATACACAATTGGGATACAATGACATGTGTCAACCAAGTCGGTGAGTCTGACAGCCTGATGGTGTTAGTTGACATGCATCGGTTGCTGAAGACCAATTCTAACCCTGGTCTTCTCTGGTCTTCACTTTCAAGAGTTGTGTACTTGATAACTGACTTGACCAAGACAGATCTTGTTGGGAACACATTTCTGCTCATTCATCAATGCATTGCATATGAGTTCTTAATACTAGAATAATTTGTAAGATGCTCTTAATGTTATAAAATTAGTGAAGAAATCATGAATTAAAGACACTGGTGTCCTTTTAAAGTGGTACTACACCGCTTTTAGCAATATTCCAGCAATATCACGGCGGGGGACACCAGAAATGGGCTTCACACAGAGTACCCATGTGGGGAATCGAACCCAGGTCTTCAGCATGACGAGCAGAGGTGTCCTTTTAAAAGAATAAAGCAAAGAATATTGTTTAAAAGACTGACTTTATTTCTGGAACAGGTGGATCTTCTTTCAAAAGAGATGATACTGGCACCATATGTCACAAGACAGCACTGGCAAATGTTTGTGGTATACCCCAAAAATTATGAGATTGTATATATAAACCTAATGGGTGAAGATACATCACATCAGAGTAAAGAGGCAGTTTTGTCAACTTGGCAGAGAATACTGAGCAGATGTAAAATGGGTCTACTCAACAAGGACACCCTTCAGAAGAGATGGAAGCTGACAACAGTAAAACATCAATTACAACAAGACTCCACAAGCTGTGGAATATATGTGATGAAGGTAGGACACATTTTTTAAATCTAACACACATTGGCAACAGATAAAGTTGCCTTCAACAACGAAAATCCAAACAATATTTCAGCATAAGTATTCAAAATGTATCATAATTGTTAATGTGTTAAAACCAGTTACCATAGTTTAACATAACTCCCCACAACATTTGTTAAAAAAAATTCCTACTAATGAACTGATAATCTCAAATTTCAGTTTGACTTTCTGCTTGATGGGGAGAACATGAGCACCCCATTTGATACAGTTGAGACCAGAATACACACAGCATCCCATTTGATACAGTTGAGACCAGAATACACACAGCATCCCATTTGATACAGTTGAGACCAGAATACACACAGCATCCCATTTGATACAGTTGAGACCAGAATACACACAGCATCCCATTTGATACAGTTGAGACCAGAATACACACAGCATCCCATTTGATACAGTTGAGACCAGAATACACACAGCATCCCATTTGATACAGTTGAGACCAGAATACACATAGCATCCCATTTGATACCAGAATACACATAGCATCCCATTTGATACAGTTGAGACCAGAATACACATAGCATCCCATTTGATACAGTTGAGACCAGAATACACATAGCATCCCATTTGATACAGTTGAGACCAGAATACACATAGCATCCCATTTGATACAGTTGAGACCAGAATACACATAGCATCCCATTTGATACAGTTGAGACCAGAATACACATAGCATCCCATTTGCTGCAAGAAACAGGTAAGTACAGATTACCAAAACAAAGTGAAACATGCTATTCTAAAGGCATTATAACTTAAGAGAAATATAGAGATATTAATTTTGCAAATGTCCATTGGTGTTACTAAGTAATTAAATGTAATGCATAATATTCTAAACAAATGTGAATGTGTTGTTTCAGATTTACATACAATGGCAGACATCTGTAGAGGCTGCTCAATGCCAACACGTATGGCGGACACTAAAACATCATGGCACCAAACAAAGTGTACAACATTGGGTAAGGATTCATGACCAGTTACAGCACAATTATACTGAGGAAATATATCTTATGAGTTTTTCTCACTTGTGCAATCACAAAAGTAATACATTACAAACTAAACTAATGAGAAAATATACACAACTGAATTGGCAAAGCAAACAATAATAAGAATAATGACTTTGTATTGCAGGTGCAGTGTGAGAGCTGCAGTGTGAGAGCTGCAGTGTGAGAGCTGCAGTGTGAGAGCTGCAAGTGCTGGTATCACCTTGAATGCTCTGGCAGCAGTGAATCCTTTACAACACTGCAAAATGAGACATTTGTGGGCTGTGTGTGCCAGGTAGATGGTGTAGAATATGAGGGCAACAGATCGGAACTTCATCTTTATTTCTAAGAAAAGGCACACGAGAACAAACAGTGTCTGTGGATACCACTCATGGAAGGCATACTGGGCTGGCTGGACACACAGAGCATAATTTCCAATTAATCGCATTAAATGGTCGCATAAAGAAATGTCAAGAATGCAAAAGAGAATTCAATCATCCACCAAGGGCACCATTTGACATAGTTGTGAGACACCAGTCAGAGGGCAAATAGGCAACAATCTTTTTGGACAAATTCTCACTATCACTGCAGGGCACAGTGCATACTCACCAAAACTACACAATTCACCCTCAGCAGGCTTGTAATTGATCCAAACATAATATTGACAGACAACCACATACAACATCTGGCACAAAATGGGATAGACATAATGTATGTTATAAATTCAAGTGTCCCTTATTTCTAATCTTCAAATTATAAACTTAAAGAACAGACAATAACTACAGATCAGATGCCAGTCAGTCTGGATAACATGACAATCAAGACCCTCACTACAGATCAGATGCCAGTCAGTCAGGATAACATGATAATCAAGACCCTCACAGCAACCCTCACTACAGATCAGATGCCAGTCAGTCAGGATAACATGACAATCAAGACCCTCACAGCAGCAGCCCAGTTAATGTCTATATGACAATTACAAGCCTTTACTACTGTTGATGCAATAAACTACAAATCTGACAAACTCACACCATTTAACAAAGTTTGTTCACTAGAGCATATTCGTCATGTTCATTTATTAATGGTGTGGCATTTGGTTGTACTGGTGACAATTTGGCAATATAGCCTTGACGACATTGAAGTCCACATGTCAAGGGACGGTTAGAAACTGTCGGCACAATACTACACAAATCCATGAATTGGTAACATTAAAGCTGGTGTCTTCCATTAGCCTTTTGATAGACCATTGTTCATTAAATGGCGGGGTTCAGAAACTAAAAAAGAAACAAAAGATACCTTACTAAATATGCTTTGACAAACGGTACCATAAAACAGTTTCTCACAATTAATTACTTACAGCAGCATAACTTTAAGGCATAATTACTGCTGTGTTAGTAGTTACATTGGCTGAATAATAATTCAAATGAAGCATGAATTGAGAATAGAATTATTTCTGCAATGAAATGCAAACATTACTTTAGAATTCAAATTCCTTTTCAATAACCATAAGCATGATAAAATACTATACTCAAAATAAGTCATTACTCAAACCTTCAGAATTGACAGATAACCTCAAATATACATGAAATAAACTTACATTTGTGTTCCAACACTCTTGTCATCATTCACACATCTGTACACCATGAGGCCTTCCACTGTTATGCCATGTGGCTGGATTGCATGAACTGCACATGCTTTGGGTCACATGACCGCACAATGCCCCAGCACCTCTCTAGACTTTCTGTTAGGCTCTTATGAAAACTGATTACATGATAAAGCCAATGAAATTGCTTCTTGCTTTTTGGTAACTTGTTAGAATATAATTGAAATATAATTCAAATGACAGAAAACTACTTTTGGAAAAGAAAATTATAAAAACAATTTGCAATTAGCATAGAAAACAAAATCTGCATTTACAACTACCAAAGATACAGTACAAACAGAAATTATTGAGAATTTAAAGATGGTAATTTTTTTTATTTGTTTCACTCATTACTCACGTATTAAATGTGAATATTAGCAGAACATAACTCCAGATTCAAAGACAGGTGAACAGTTAGTATTTTGTCAAGTCACCATGGGCAGCAATGCAGGCTTCAATGCGGCAGGGCATACTACTGATCAAAGAAGTTAAAGGTCGTGGTCCATGCTGTCATAATATCGGACCACCTCTTCTTTCATTTCAGCAATATTTGTCAGATTTTTCTTATTGACACTTTCCTTCATAAGTCCCCAAACATTTTCTATTGGATTGCGGTCAGGGCTATAGCTTGGCCAATCTAATAATGTCATATTTTGGGTCCGAAACTAGGCCTGTGAATGCTTTGAACGATGTTTTGGGTCGTTGTCCTACTAGAAAATCCAAAACTTTCCATAGAACATGTGAGCAGATGGAAGTAAATGTCCCTTGAGATTATTTGTGTACCGCTCACTGTTCATATTCCCTTCAAATACACAGAGGGGCGTTGCCCCTAACACAGATATGCCACCCCACACGATAAATTTCGGACTGTACTTTGGGCGCTGATACAAAGGTTTTTCAGTTTGTTTGGTCCAGAATTTCAGTGTATTAGGAAACAGCCACACAGAACTTTCATCTGAGAAAATCACATTGTCCCAGTTAAAATTTCTATGCTGTAAGCACCAGTTCAACCTTGCTCCTTTTGTTCAGGTTTCATGATCGGTGATGGACTTCCTCGACTTTTCTGCCAACCAATTGCATGCAGCTCAGTTCTAATTGTCTCCTTACAGACAGCCACAGTCCCTCTATCAATCACATCCAGCCTTAAGTTTTCTAAACTCCTTCGTTTGTTTTTAGAAACAAGAATACCAAGCCGCCTCCTGTCACCGACAGACAATTTTCTGGGCCTACCTGCGCCTCCCTGGTGCTCAATGCCATATCCATGTGCAATATTTTTCAAAACACGATAAACAGTGGACAAAGGGATGCCTGTTCTACTTGAAATCACTTTAGCTGATCTGATGTCCTTGTTATAATACTCTAAAATCAACTTCCTCTTCTCTAAATCATCCATACTGAGGATCACTGAAAATGTCGTCTGCTAGCAAGTAAACAAAGGGGGATAACTCTTCACAAACTAATGAAAAAGGATTAGCGAATGAAACAGAGCACTTGATAGCTGGTCAAGGTTGTTTACACTAGAAATCCAATTAAACATATTCCTAAAATTCTCAATAATTTCTGGTCATACTATATACCAGTCAGTGCTGATAACATCACAATCAAGAAGCTCAAAGCAGCCCTACAGATAACATGACAATTAAGAAACAATCAAGCATATCTTTGTGTGGTGTATTAATTTTCCTTGATGTAATAATTGGGCAGAGAGATGTTCTTCAGAAATGACACTTTTGAACCTTTTTTGGGCCAGATACCCTAGGCCTCCACGTGGCCTGGCCTGGCAACTATCCCAATCATGACTGAAATGCTGATGCCATTAGGCGAGAATAGGATAGGCTAACACAGGGTGATTCAAATTCTTTACCATGATATACCTCAAGACAATATGTAACCATTAGATGAGAATGGGATAGGCTAACACAGGGTGATTGAAATTCTTTACCATGATATAGCATAATGAGATATGTAAAGGGAATCCATAAAAACATTCAGAAAATAGTATGTTTACTTCCATGATGAGTATATAAAAATATATATGTGCAGTATTCCCAAACATATCTATAATCAGAAATGAACTTGCTCCTTTCTGTAAGTGTATGTACACTTTTAAAGATGAAATTAAATATCAAGTCAACTGCTTCATGCAAAATGTTCTTTTTAATAAAATGGAGTGACACCTAAGTGTTTCCCGGTATGACAAAACACATTGTATTACAAGTATTATAAGAACAAGTTAAATACTTGTATTAACCTCAATGTACATTCATATACATATCTTTCACATTGTTGTCATATTTTTTCTTAATTTTCTTAAACTTTATTCATATCTTTCACATAGTAGTTTGTTTTGAGATAAATAAATTTACATAAAATAAACATAATCATTTATTTGGATTAAAATGTAATTAAAACTTAATTTGATTCATGATTATATATACATATATACATCTTTCACACAGTCAACTACCACATTCATTAATAAAGTCATTGTGGTAACCACTAGTAATTTACATGTATACACACAGTTTCACATTCATCAACATAGTCATTTGGTTTTCAAGCTAGCTTGATCAAATATCCTGCAGCAGTCAGGAATTCCAGGGGTGTCTTGATACCAGATGTCAGCTGGGCCTTCAGGACGAGTGAGTCTCTGGTCAATTTCTGTGTGCGTCCCTCTTGGGGTGGGGGCCGAGCCATGAGCCATCTGCACCAGCTTATTTCTCTCAGCTTTCTCCAGCTTCTGCAGAACCTTCACAAGAGCGAAAATTTTCCGGATGGGCTCTGGGCCGGTCTTGTTGAGATCACGAATGCCAACCCTCG